CGAAGGAGGCCCTGCTGCAGAAACGGTCACCTTCGGAAGCCATTAGAAAACGTCATCGGAGATCGCCGCTCGCCAGGCCACCCGAGATCCAGTGGAAGCAGGAGTTCGCCAGTAGAGGTTAGCCGTCCTATGATGCTGTGAACAGGCCTGCCTGGATGCCACAGACCCAGTCAAACTCCAGGAGCTCATTAGTACAGGTATCAGCCGCCCTACGATGTTGAAGAGGACACTTCCTGCCGGACACCCGTAGATACTGACGAAGATTACGAGGACATCTGTACGAGCGCGCAGCCGAGAAGGACCTGGACGGAGATCTGCGAGACGTGCATTAGGCGAATAAACCGTCGAGTTTGACCTGTACGCGGACTACGAGGATGTCTGGACGAGGATCTGCGCGAGACCAGTAGAGGACGAACGGATTCCCAGGGACCAGAGCGAGGATGACGACACAGAACGAGCAGCCACGGAGATGCACCAAGGATACCGCACCTGAGATCGAAGACGAGCAAGTTGGAACCAGCCAGGTTGGGTCACCGTGAGTAGGTGGCCGAGCAATATAGTGTATTATATCGGTATTATATACCCACGTGGCGCCCACGTGGAGGCTTGCAGTGGCCACGTGGTGTCCACGCGACCCACACTAAGCGGCGTGCCCCAATGGATGGGCGGTTCTCCTCGCCCCCCCAAGCCAGCGTCTTGGATACTTAAGGCCGCGTTTTGACTAGTCAAGGCAGAGTGTGCCTTGGTGCGGTCGAGGTTACGTCTGACCTTGGCTGAGCCACCAGAGACCTCAGGCGACCCTCCAGCCGACCGCACGATACCCAAGACTGTCATCGTTGTGTTATCCACTGTGTGCTTTCTCTTATCAATAAAGAGATTTGAGCCACTAAGCTTTTAATACTTCCCTGTCACCAATGTTTAGAGCTCCTATAACTCTTACACTGTCTTCCTCCTATTCTGAACGATTTGGAATCCCTTGTCATCCACATTGGGGTCGACAGGCGAATCCACACCGTTCATTTCCCTATGTTCAGTGAGATCAATCCCCTCCCTAGGGTGGGGGGATGAGGGGGTGGTAGATGGCGATGCGGGGGACCCGAGCACGTCCCCCTCCCCCTCCATGGCGGGACAGCGAGGAGGTGGTTGTCCACTTCTACGGTGATTAATTCCCTGCGGTCGGGCGCGGGGAGGGTGCGAGCGCCAGGTCAAGTGCTGTCACACATACACTCACCAGGTCTTGTCAACGGTCGTCCGTACAGCACCCTGTTACCCTGGCACTACACTCAGTATTCGTAACTTTTACTAAACACTGCTATTTCTAGATGACTTGACCATAGCACAATTTGGTGAGTATATACCCACACACACCACACACAGTCTGAGTATAAGGACAACCCAGGTGAGGGGGTTTATCCCAGTAAAATCGTCCAGAACACAGGAGGAATCCTGGTGATGTCCTGCCTTGGTGTTACTAGGCTTTGAACTGATGAAATTATTGTTCCTTTTCTTAGGTGAGTATTTCCTGTAGAATTATAAATACTAACCATTTCATCTCATTATCCCCGTTGTACCCAAACTCAAACTTAAACTTAACCTTACTTAACTTACCCTAACCTAACCCAACCCAACATAACATAACATAAACAGACTTGACCTAACTTTATCATACATGAGAGGGCATGATGTTAGTTACCGTGAAGCCAAGAGGAAAGTTGAAGGTTTAACAAGCAAACCCAATACTTCTTACGCTTCAGCAGCAACTAACAACAGTCCCAATGCAAATGGCATTAGTCATGAGTTTGCAGCAAAAGACAAAGAAACTGCAGAGTTAAAGGAAACAGTTAAGGAATTAATGAGTCAGATTAAATAACTGATAAATACAATAAAAAAAAAATGTTGAATCAACCCAGCAAAAGCAGCAGCATCATAAGGAGGATGATACCAAAACACAATCTGGATTGCACCTTTTCGTCCAGGCGGCTCCTGCCTGGTTTTTGGTCTGTTTCTAGGAACAGATCATATACCGGGCGTCTGCCTGGCAGCGAGATGCAGGACATGGAGGCTACTGTCTCTAGAAATATCCATGGGAGGCCCCTGGGTAGCAAGGGATAGGAAAAAGAAAATGAAAACAGGCAGACAAGGTATTTCCAATACCCATAAATCGTAATCTTCATGTTAACCATTATACAGTGGAACTGTCTTGATCTAAAGTAATGGCCTTAAATTATTAGCCTCGTCCTATGCTTCTGATATTATAGTTCTCCAAGAAAAACACTTAACACATCGTCATTTCGTTGAGGAATTGCCATCTGTGTCGGAAGGATCGAGAGGGTAGGGGTGGAGGTAGAGTACATCCACCAAAGCCTCCCTTTTACTGTAGTGACTATCGGTTCTACTTTGGTGTTTGTCGCATGCAAAGTAAAAATCAGTGATACGTATCTCACTATATGTTCAGTTTATTGTCCCCCTGATAAAGTGCGTTGACAAGTTGCTTATGCAAGGTCATGAGACGAATTGTAAACAGTAAGCTATTGCAATTTTTAAATTCCAGCAATTTAATGGTTAAAGAGCAGTGCGGCTTCCGAAAGGGACGCCAAACTTTTGATCAACTAGTAAAACTGGACAGTCGTATTCAAGAGGCAATTGTCAAAAAAAAAATTGATCTCAGTATTTTTAGATATAGAAAAAGCCTAAGACATGGCAATCTGACCTACTAGGAAAACTTTATGTTTTTGGATTACGTGGAAACTTCATTTCTCACAGAACTTTCTTGGTCAAATTTTTCGGACATTTTTGTTCAGGCAAACGGGGTCTCACAAGGAAGTCTGTTGTCACCAAAATTATTTCTATGTATGATTAATGACATCCTACCAGCTCCCTCTCGAAATCTCAAATACTTATTGTACGCTGATGATTGTGCATTATGGCATTCTAGCAGTAATGCAGAATTCTAGGTAAATCTCATCCAAGTGGCACTGGATATGATTCATAACTGGGGCCTCCAGTGGGGTTTTAAGTTTTCCACAAGAAAGAGTATTGGGTATTTTTTTTTCACATAGGAGGAAGCCGAACATCAGGCTAACTCTAGTCAATCACCCAATATCTATTCAATATTCTGCTAGATTTCTTGGTCTGCTCTCTGATTGTAGACTTAATTGAAAAGACCACAGTGGTCAGTTAAAGAATAAGTGTCAAAGAGCACTAAATTCATTAAGTGAATTTCTGGTAATAAATGGGGATCTGATAGAAAGTCTTTGCTAATGATATATATAGCCACAGTTAGGACTAAAGTATGGATCAATCGTGTATGGCTTGCATCAAACTCAATCTTGAAAGGTTTGGTTGCTGTGCAGAATACTTGTTTGCGTGTGCGTCTTGGAGCCCTGAAATGTACTCGTATCGAGCGTCTTGAGGTGGAGTCAGGAGTACCTCCCCTCCGGATCAGACGCGGCCAGTAAGCATTGACCTATGCTGCAAAGGTGGCTCGAGACTCGAGCCATCCTAATTGCAATGGAGGTATTAGGCCCTTTGCCACCCGACTCCACGACCTCGTTGAGAAAGTCGGTATAGATCTTTCTACCATTGATACCCTGGTTCAGTCAAACATAGCGCCATGGGAAACCCCCAACTTTTCAATCATGGAAGCCTGGCTTTCATCAGCTAAGACCATGGCCCCAGAGACGGAGGTACGCCTAAGGTTCAGAGAGATCCTTATTAAAAAAAAATGTTCATATATATACCGACGGCTCCAGGACAGATGAGTGTGTAGGTGCGGGTGTTTGGTCGACTGAATGTGAATTGGAGTTCAGATTGCCGAATCATACATCAATCTTTCTTGCTGAACTTTTTGTTAATGATAAAGCTATAGATTTTGTACTATCGACAACCCTCGATAGAATAGTTTTTTTTCAGATTCACTAAATTCACTTAATCCAATGTCGCCGGAGAAAATGAAGAAAAAATAGGGAAAATGCTGTGATTTTTTTTCTTCTTTTTGTAAAATGTCTCTGCACATAGATGGCTCTATTAGTGCTTAGCCACAAAGGAGTCAATTAGTAGATCTTGTGACCTTACCTCGTTTCACCTTTCCTTGAATTGGCGAGAAAAATATATTTTTTGCAAGTGATATGAATATTAATGGTGTTATTTTTATTATAAACGTTATAATTACTATAATGTTATAAACATTAGTAATAGCAAAATAAGATAACGTAAAATATTTTCGTAAATCAAAGAAAAGAGTAAACGGACGAGACAGGCAATAATCGCAATTGGCTCATTAGTGACTTAGTACAAGTGTAGTCAACTATGTGTAAAAACAATGAAACAAGTAAACTAGTAAGCTATAAAATCATTAGAAACGACCAAAAATGAACTGCTAGGTAATATCATTCGTAAGCTACATAGTTCCAACAAATCAATCAAGCTAATGTGGTTACCTGACCACTCTGGTATCCATGACAATGAACAGGCTGACAAATTAGCTGGGTCAACTGGCGATCTGGACATCAACATAGTTCGTACAGATCTCAGGTGTTTTGTGTCTCTTATAAAATACATCTGTGGCAAAGTGAATGGACCAACCTAGACAAACATCAAAAACAAAACAGTAATAGAAACGTGGGACACAGCCCACACAAGAAACAGAAGAGAAGAGGTGGTGTTGGCGCGCCTGAAAACAAATGTTACAAGAACACATCTCACGCCATATATTGAAAAGAAGTTTCCATCACAGTGCCCCATTGCACAAATTTCCTCATAACCTGTCAAAAATATAACCACAATAGACAAAACTTACAAAATTACTTTAGAAACCAAAATCTACCATTCACAACATCAAGGTCCATTGGCTTAATAACCTTGGCTACATGCCGCTGGTTGATAGCCAAGAAATCCAACAATATATATTTGTTAAGTTAGCAATATATATTGATTTCATATAGAATAGTAAAATTTGTTTACATGTTCATGTTTTCATGTGAGATAAGCAAACTAATAAAATTAATCAAACATGTATTTTGGTTTATTTTTACAAGAAACTTGGAAAATGTTGAAAAAGCAATCAATATCCTAAAATTCTTTATCGATTTTTGTTACAAGTAATCTTTTCTTGAGTAAGCATGGAATCAGCAAATTTCCATAAAACTTGATAAACAAATAAAAGTTTGCTCTTATTTGAAACATCCGCATCAGCGTTGCATACATGAAAATTAGGCACAGAAAGAATTAGCACAGCACAGCGACATTAGCATGAGTTCTCTGTGAAGGAAATGTTCAGACAGCAGTAAAAGGAGTGTTTCATGCAATCTGCGTCTTTATCACATTAATCATAAATTGACAAAGAATTTATGCAAAGAATAAAACTTTCATTTCCCTTTTCTCTCTAAAAATAGACCTGGAGAGAATAAACGTAAATATTTGAAATTTATTATAATTACAAATTTATAGTAGCGACCATGAGGATGGCGTTATCAAGGGAACATGGCGAAATCATTTAAATTCATTTAAAAGAGACTTAATTGATCTCTAAAAACACATAATGAATGAAGATAAATAGGAATGTAAATGTATATAAATATATAAAACTATGAAAACATTCACTTATATATATATACATGTGTCTGTGTGGCGTGAGAATGGGAAAGGTATCCCTGTTTTATATGCAATATCCATCTTAGGGCAAGAAATGGCGTGGTTAGTTTACTTATCAATGGCGCTCTCTCTCTCATCTATGCCTGCTGCTTGTCGGGATTCAGCCCTACCACAGCTTGGAGATTCACATCTGCCTGTTGCTTGTGGGGATTCATCCATGCCGGCTGCTTTTGGGGACTTATTCCTGTTTACTGCTTGAGGAGATTCATCCCTGCCTGCTGCTTGTGGGGATTCAGCTCTGCTTACTGCTTGTGGAGATTCATTCCTGCCTTCTGCTTGAGGGGACTCATCGCTGCTTACTCCTTGTGGAGACTCATCTCTGGCTATTGCTTTCCTGCTTGCTGCGTGCCATGAGCCGTCCCTGCCTACTGACTGTGAAGACACATGTCTGCCTACTTTTCCCGGAATTTCCCTCGAGAATTTGCTCAAATTCGCCGACTTGAGTTTGTCTGGCAACTTCAGGTCCAAAAGAAAAAAACATATTTTAGCACCACGTTGGGAGGATATCGTAAGCTGTTCAACTGATCTGTTTATAATTAAACAAAGAAATTCCTATCTCACACATAAACGTGTGAGACAGACGCAAATGCACCAACTGTACTCTACTCTCACACCTGTGGCGAGAACGTCAGCTCCTGACGATTTGAAGGAGTAAAGGTGTAGCAACACGAGCATTTTCATCACCAACATCTGGTTGTCACACGCAAAATTATGCTCGTTGCGTGGGCGACCTGGTCAGATGGCGCTCAGACCATCACCCAAGAGTGTTATAGGAGGCAAATGGCTAGTACTACTAGAGGAGATATTATTCTTATCACAGAGACATTGACTATTTCACAAATGTGTCAGGAAACGGAAAAACACAGATGAAAATATGTAACCTATATATTTCAGATTTTCATGTGTAGGATAGCCTATGCTTTTCGTTAGCCCGCTCGCATTCAAACAATGTTGACTGTGCGCTGAAAACTATCCCAAGCACTTGAGAACCTGTGTGCGTCCCAGATATTCACACACCTTATTAGATCATATAGCGTTCGAGTGACCTTATAAGGCCGGTTACTCGATTTTTTTTTTATCATTATTTTTAAGTCGGTGGTATAATTGACTTTTCCGCTTTCCTCAACTACCGAGTTCCCATAACCTACTATTTGGTCAGAAGCAGAAGTAGTATCGCTTGAAAATCGGCGAAGCGGGCATGGTAAGAGAGTCTGTAATCATTTATATTTCATTTAATATGATTTTAAATTTCATATTACATTTTATATCCTTATCTTTTTCAAATGGGCTTATTATCTTTAAAAGGAGATTTATTTGAAATTATCCTTAATGTCATTATCTTCCAAGTTCCTCAAAGGAGCCTGCCAATATTAATTTTCCAAATTAAGTTCTTGCAGCAAATTATGATACATACCTCTATTTCTTTTCTGCAACCAACCAAAAAAATACAAGTCGTTTTAGTAATCATTGAGCCTCCATTTCTAAAATACATGACATAACCTGCGAGGACCGCAATCGAAGAAGCCATCTTTGTTGGCGAAACTGAGCGCATAGGCAATGGTTATGCTCGGCCCGTGTGACCAGCAAATTAGATAACTTCGAAAAAAGTACTATGTGATCGTGCCTTAACTCTTAATCTAAACTCGCACACCACACTCCAAACTGCATGTTTGTTAATGTTTACGTATCTAGTGTGATAAGGCATTTATTGTGTGAGAAAAAATATATGCACGAACAATAGATATATAAAAATACTATCAAACAAGCAATTTGGAATGGGCCATGCGATTTGCTAAGATCACACTGTCGCGAGTTTGGTAATTATGGTAACCACTCCTTTCCCTTCTT